TTTGTTGGCTGCTAGCGGTGCTATTGCTGCTGCTATTGTTGTTCGTCTGCAGCCAAGTTGGGGCTCGTTTCGGTGTGTATGTCTGGTTCGACCGTAGCATTCTGGCTTCTGATCTGCGGCTTCTGTCAAACTGCATGCTGGCTTACTGAGCCAATAATGTAGTTAGGAAACTGGTGCCACTAGTCAACGGAACTACGCAAAAGAAATATCAGGATCACTGAAGCTTGCTCCTTGAAGTTTACACGTTCTATAGACCCTTCAAGCGTTGCATGCAGGCAGGGTAAACCAAATCTTCCCGCCCTGCATGCTCGCAGCTAGGAAGGCAAGCTACTCGGGTGCAGCTGAATCCGGTGCTCCGGCAGGCAGTGACGCTTCAAGACTGGCATGTTGGCTAAAATTGCCAAAAACTCAGTTGGCTATATACCTATTATAGCAGCTTGGGATTACAAGCGTCACGGCGGGGATCGCAACTAACACATGGTGTCACTGTTACCTTGATTTGGACTCATTGCATTCAGGATCCTGCCATTTGTGCTGCATTATGTCGGGCCCCTTTTGACACTCTCATATCTGACCCTCTATGCTTCCGGATGCAGCAGCGACCTTGGCTAGCTTGAAAATCGCAGATGCCAGCATCACAGGGACCGCGAAATCAGCCTAGTAACCCCCCTCAACCGACGTGATGCTCGATGCGAATCAAGCGGTCCCCAGTGCGTGTTTTGCTAATTTACGGCCTGGACAAGTTGAAAAGTCAGCAGACCTTACCAGAGAGCCGAGAGGCTTGGAGAGGCTTCATCTAAGCGTAGGGTCTGTATGCAACCTGCGACATGATACTGCGAACTGTGATGAAAGCTCTGCAGTGTCCGACTATTCGTGTCATATGATATTGCCAAAGGCCTTTAATTTCCATGATATATGACAATGTGGACAGCTCTAGCAACTACATGAGGAGTAGACCCACGTGTCCTGTCAAAAAGCAAGAAGGTAACCAGTATCGAAGTTAAGGTCATTTGCACCCCGAAGTCGCAAACCCTAAAGCCTCCAACCGTCAGCCCCAACCGCCTGTCTATGTCTTCAGCGATGTGGGGCTCTCCGGCTCAAGATGCTGTGCAGATCACAATGCTCTAATGCCTGCTGCCTGAGGAAGCACGGCTGGGAAGTAAACAGATGTGTCATCCCACCAGGAGACTCGGTGCAGGTGCTAAGCCGAAAACCCTGAAACGGCTCAGCCAACCCAGAACTAAAAACCGTCGCATCCGAGTCAATCAAACTTTGGTCTGAGCAGGAATGTCTGCTGGCTTGGGTGCAGGATGTGGGTCTTGGAAGTTAGGAATCAACGGGTTTAGCGGCTCAAAACTTAAGATTTAGGGACCTAGAGCCCAGCCCTGAAGTCTGAATAGATGTAGGCATATGTCTTTGCAGACATACACGTATAAGCTGCGATCGTACAGAGGAACAGACATTGGTCTGTGGATGCATACATACACACAAGACAACGGAAACTCTGAATGCTTGCGAAGAGGCATTTACAGGTCTACGGGCCAGCATGACTGCAGCAAACGAAAAAATGTTCTTGCATCTGTGTTTACATGCACAGGACTTGCAGGAAGACTTGCGTGCTAAACCAGCCTGAAGCAGCCAATACAGAACATGCAAACCGCATTGAGGCTCATTCTTCCGAAGTACACACGGACATAGACGTGGGTGCTGGTAAAGGACACGAAGTTGTGCGGCGGACTTCTAGACACATCCGAGCGAAGACCCTGGGACAGAGACTTTTGGAAGTTCGAGTCTGGTGATTTAGGGCTCTGGGGTTTTAGGGTTTAGGGTTTTAGGGTTTAGGGTTTAGGGTTTAGGGTTTAGGGTTTAGGGTATTAGGGTTTTAGGGTTTTAGGGGCATTGTGTGCTGCCAGGCTTGGGCCTTTAGTAGGGATGCTTAAAAAAACAAAAGGGGCCTTAATAATTAGAATAAAAGGTTTTTGGTGTCCTTTGTAGTATAAGTATGATGAGGAACCCCCAAAATAGTACTTATAACTATTGGCGCATTTAGGAGATTGGGGTTTCAAAGCCCACTCAGGCATGCGCAACTAGCCCACGTCACGCGAAGCATTGCTTCGCTGGCGGGCCCTGTCAGAACATCAAGCTCACGTCCTCCGTGGAAGTCAGCTCTCACCGGAGCTAGCAGGGGGACAGCACGATGTTCCTCGGTACACAGGACTGTCGGGCTGACTGAGAGCTTCGCGGCTAGCCGTGAGTTGAATGTAATTTGTGCCTCAAAAAAAAATGTGTTCACGGTGGCATGGGGCTCATCGGGCTCTAAGGCAGGGTGTGTACACGCAAGTGCAGCTTTTTGGCGTAAGACTACGAGTGGCCTAAAATGCAGCCACCAGAAACATAAGCAACAACCTGCAGCACGGGACGTGTAGCCTGCTGGGTTCTGCTTAACACGTCGTGTGTAAACACGCAACAGCCCGATGTCAGGGTTGTGAATACGAAAGAAAGCGATTGCAATCTTTTGGCCGAAGCTGCTCCGGCGCATCCGGAAGACCTTGAAACAAGGTGCGTTTGAACGCTCCAGTCGTGCGATTGAATTCCTGGGCGGAGCAATTCACGGGATGGTGCAGGCTTGGCTACTAATCAATACTGAAACACACGGCATGATTCAGGTGTGTGTGTGTATATATATATATATGTATGTATGTACGTATATGTATGTATTTATGTATGTATGTGTGTCTGTCTGTATGTACATATGTATGTATGAATGGATGTATGTACTTGTTTATTCACTTTTATATTTTATCTATGTGTTTCTCTGTTTATATTTACAGTTTGATGTATATATATATATATACATACACATGAATATATAAGCGTGTGTGTATGTATGTATGTATGTATGTATGTATGTATGTATGTATGTATGTATGTATGTGTGTATGTATGTATGTATGTATGTATGTATGTATGTATGTATGTACGTATGTTTCTATGTGTGTATAATCTGTAGATGTACATACGTACAATGATAGTAGAGTCAACTGGTTCTGTTTTGGTGAAGTCGATCTGGTTGGCAGTTCAAGCATAAAGGCAGCTATAGTTGAGCTCTTTTTACTACAAGCCCCGTGTTCTACATTAAACCGAATAGCTTGGCAGCATACATATATATATATATACTTCATGCACCTGCACTGAAACAGGCACAGCAGAAACCCTAAACCCTAAAAGCCTGAGGCCCCCGGGAGACAACATCCAGCAGTCCCCCTTTTCTCCCTCGCGGTCATCACTGAGACTAGCCTTCTAGCCTCGCATTTGCATAGCTTGCGAGCGCGTGAACCAAAGAGTACTCCCAAGTATACTCATAAGGGTTCTAGAAGAGTTGTAGAAACGTTGGAGGTACAGACAGGAGACTGCGCTGCCGACGGACGAACCAAAGGCTTGCCAGATGTTGCCTACAAACTGACACATTGCCCCGAATTACCTGCATGAAGCTGTCCTACAAACCCACTTGGCCACAGAACTTCCCCGCCGCATTCACGGCTGCCCCGAAGCCGCAAGTGAATTCAAAAACAAGGCAAAGCAAGTTCCGAAGGCAAGCGAAAAGCTTTCCTGAAGATAGTAGTCTATGAATGATACCCAAATAACCTAGCTACATGTTTGTAGGTACACATGTACTGCAGTATGTGTACGTATAGAGACAGAGAGAGTATGTCCCTATAACTGCTTCTGTAAATAGAACTTAGGCGTGTGTGCGTAGAAGCAAGCATATAGGCATGAGGGCATATGGCATTCTCCACATGTATTCAAAACAAGACAGATGGAAAAACAAATCAAACAACCTGTGAATACGTACAGATACGTACATGAATATATATATATATATATATCTGCACAGACTATGTATAAACAGATTTGCTACTAACGTCTACGTATCTCCCTCTTCTTCTCCCGGGCATAAGCGGCGAGTCAAGCTATCTGTCTCTCTCTCTCTCTCTCTCTGTCTGCTCTCAGCTTCACATCACAGACTTTTCCAAACTAGTCCATTTTCAGCTTAAGCAAGTCTGCTCTGCGAAACGAAACCCAATAGATCCCCAAACCCTAAACCCAAAGCGGCTGTAGTTTAGGAAGTAGGACGAATTTGACTCTGAGGATCAAGAATGGCTTTCTGCGTTTGCGAAGCCACAATAAGCGACGTTCCACGCATGACCTGCCGGTTCAACAACATGAGACGGGCTGAAGTCCGATTGTCGGATTCCGAGCATGCTCACCGAAGGGTGGGCTTATTTCAGGGCCGAGGGATGTTCGGGCTGAGGGATTGTTTTTTGTACGGGCCTCGGGCTTGAGAAGCGGGAACTTCAGAATTACTGACACCCAGATCTTCCAAGCACGAGGCTTCGATGTGGAGAGTCGCAAAGGTCCCTCGAAACCCCTCGAAACGAATCCCTTGCCCCCAATAGTAAACGACGCAGCCCCCTTCCGCCAAAAAACCTCGAAAAGTGTTTGCATTATTAGGGGTGTGTTGGTCTCTTCTGTCACGTTGGGGGGCACCTTGCTCCTGCTCTCGCTCCTGCTCCTGTCCGGGGCTCTTACTCTTGCGCTTGCTCTCGCTCTTGCTCCTGCTGTTGCTCCTGCTCTTGCTCTCACATGCCCTAAATGAGCATATGGTCTGAGTCTTAAGGGCGGGAATGATTTCAGCGAGATTTTGCGAAAAGTGTTTTTTCATAATGGGGGCAGCAGTAGCAACAGCGCAAGTAGCGGTAGTAGCAGTAGTAGCAGCAGTATTAGTAGTCGTAGTAAAATAAAAGTACTACGAGTAGCACAAGCAGCAGCAGCAGCAGCAGCAGCAGCAGTAATAGTAGGCAGTGGCAGTAAAGAGCCATCTCATTGCGCAACTCGTTTCTGTAATCACTCTTCGCTTTGCTATTGACGACAACGCGACTCTTACTGCAAAAGGTTTGCTTCCCGTCCACGTTCGTCTCCGTATGCTTCATCCGAGGAGCCATGTTCGTTGGATGCTTCATCCCGTCCTCAAGTCTAGGAGACGGAGACGTGTGCCTGACCTACCTTTGCCAATCTAAACATGTCAATTGCCACATGAGAGAACTGTTAACCAAAGTCTCTTCTCTCGCCTGCAATGCTGCGATGTGGGGGTTTCCAAAAATAGGGGACCCTAATATAGTACCCTAAATAATGGGATCCTTATTATAAGGACCCCAAAATATGGTACCCCTTGTTTTCGGAAACCCCCATGTCTCTTCAATGGACTACAGCCAGTCTCTGCAGCCCAGACTCGTGAGTCAGGCTGTGACGGAAGCGGCGCGACTCGAGGTCCCACACCTGAACAGCTAGTTGTGACGGTTTGCAACACTGAGAAAATGCTGGAGCCGCAACAATACTCGTGTCGATGACGATGACGATGATGATGATGATGATGACGATGATGATGCTGATGATGATTTCATGATGACAATGATGATGAGTATGCTTATGATGGCGATGGTGATGATGACGGCGATGATGATGACTATGATGATGATGAAGATGATGAAGATGAAGATGATGATGGTGATGATGATGCCGCTGATGATGATGATGATGGTGATGATGATGATGATGATGCCGCTGATGATGAAGATGCCGCTAATTATGATGATGATGATGATGATGATGATGATGATGATCATGATGCTGCTGATGATTATGATGATGATCATGATGCTGCTGATGATTATGATGATGATGATGATGATGAAGGTGGTGATGGTGTGATGATGCAGGTGTGTTTTTGCCTTCCTCTTTCAGGGTCGCTTGCCCGTCTTATTACTGGCTCATGATGTTTCGGCGTTTCAGGCATCTGAGGTTCATTGAAAGAGTCTATAAGGCTGCCCTCAAGTATCATTAGGGGTTTGGCTACTTTCGGGATCGTTAGGGGGTCTTCAGGGGTTTCTTGTGATGAACGGCCGAGTCTCAGTTCCAACCTCTGAAACCTGAGCTGAAAACCACTAACGCTCTACTGAACCTGAGCACCAAAACCCGTACGGCCCAAGGCACAGCGATCTCGCCAGGCTTCTGCTTCTGCTTTGTGGGCGATGCGATGTAAAGTCGCTGATGCTCTTCATCCACAAGCAAGCCTCGCTGAAGCTTAAACTCGAGAATAGAATTCAGGGCAGGTCTCAGACCCCACAAGCAAGACAAAGCCTAACCCGTCATGTTGTTGAGGTCTTGGCTGGGACCTTCGACGCTTGTGAACTCTAAATTTTGCATGCACACATCCTCATAGACATGGCAGGGTTGTAAGCAGGACAGGATATAAGTCCATCGCGTGGAAGTCATGATTGAAAAACAACACGAAAGCTGGGCGCGATACTACTCAGCCTTGTTTGGTTCATGATAGTTGGTATGTCTATTGCTGCCTGATTTATATGGTGAACAACGAAAAGAGCAATAAGTCGTGCCACTTCCAGTTGCTGCAGCAGTTTGATGTGTGCAGTCGGCGCTGCAGAAATAAGTGACATGTCAAGCGAATGTATGCATATATATATATATACACACAGATAAAGAGGGAATGTGTAATTTTCTGTGTATATATATATATTTTTTTTTATATGTGTGTGTGTATGTATGTATGTATGTATGTATGTATGTCTGTCTGTCTGTCTGTCTGTCTGTCTGTCTGTCTGTCTGTATGTATGTATGTATGTATGTATGTATGTATGTATGTATGTATGTATGCGGGGTGTATGTGTATGTATGTATGTATGTATGTATGTATGTATGTATGTAGGTATGTAGGTATGTAGGTATGTAGGTATGTAGGTATGTAAGTAGGTAGGTAGGTAGGTAGGTAGGTAGGTAGGTAGGTAGGTAGGTAGGTAGGTAGGTAGGTAGGTAGGTATGTAGGTAGGTAGCTAGGTAGCTAGGTAGCTAGGTAGGTAGGTATGTATGTATATGTACATGTATATGCACATGTATATGTATGTGTATATGTATATGTATATGTATATGCATATGCATATGTATGCGTGCATATATATATATGCATACATACATACATACATACCTACAAACATCTGTATCCATATACCGTTTCTGTACCTGCTCATGTCAGTTTCCGTCAACCTCGAAACCTTCCCAAATCTGCCGAGGGTCCGATGGGATGTCGGACCGGGATCCTGTGCGAGACGTGCGTCAAGTTGTTGCAGATCACCGCGACCTGAGGTTTGAGCCCTAAACCCTAAACCAGAAGTTTAGGAGGCTGTGGATTCGGCGCCTCAGTTGGGGCTTCGTCAGGGTTCAACCGCCTTAAAATCGGAGTTGAGAGTCTCGGGTTCATCTTTGCACGATTCACTTGTGCACTTTGGTATTTCGTGGTAGGCCTTTCAATTGTGCTCACCTTCAGTGCTTGTTTTGTTGTTACGGCTGCGGCAAGCTCAGGGGCGCACGACGTCCATCTCCGTGACGCTGAGGTACAAGCACTCCTTGTAGCTCGCAATGCCTTTCAGGGCACTGGCCGACATTGGAGATCTTGTTTATACCTCAACTTGGTACTCGAAGCCATCAAGACAAGAGTAGAGACACGAGTCCATTAGACCAAAGGATCTGAAACTCGCTCCCGACCCCATCCTCAAAACACTATGCCAGACCTTCTGCAGGATTCCCTAAGCTAAGCCCTGAACCCTCCCTAAGCCCTGCTTTTGACTGGCATCTAGAATCAAACCCAGCCGAATCTGAAGCTTGTGTGCCATCGGAGAACAGAGCTAGGATTTCTTCTCTGGCACGTTTTGTGACAGGGGTCTGTTAGAGATATGGATCCGAACAGGAACCGTGATCTCGAACAACACAGAAGAAACTAGCCTAGGCCCGATGCAGCTGTAAGTCGGCACGAAACCTTGCCCCTCCACAGATCACTAGCATCACTAGCAGTGCTGTTCAAACCCCGCTTGCCAGACGCTTCACCAAGCCAACCCGTCACCTCGATAGGTGATCCCGGGGCGATATCTAAAATCCTCGGCTGACACTGTTAGGGCTCCATGTTTGTTCGCACTTATATAGTTTAGAGTTTAGACTGCTGCCGCTGCTCCTATTGTTCCCGAGGGAGACGAAAGAAACACAAGACGTTCGCCCTCTTTCGGGTGTGAGGAAACTTTGCTCACACTGTGTAGGGGCCTGACAGACAACTAACAGTATGAATCCTTAGTCATAAGTCTTCCCCGAAGAGAGTAAGCTACAATAGCTCATGCTCTAATTCTGAATCTTAGGCCCCTGTAATATAGGTATAACATCTAGATCTTTAACAAGGAACTCTAAACAATAAACCCCGATCCCTAAACCCTAAACCGAAAGGGTTCTGAGAGGCGCTTGCCCCTTCGAGCTGGCTCTACTTTGCATTGCGGCAGGGGCTTCCTCATGAGAACAAACTCTTGTTTAAGAAGGTGCCCTTCAGGGGATCGATCTACTTAAGACCCTATAAACCCTCAACCCTAAATCCCTAAACCCCACATTCTAAACCCCTACATAGATTATTTTCGACGTTTCGCTCTTGGGCTTTCTCGTCGGCCTCGGGACCCTACCGCACTTCCTAGGGAGATCTTAGCCAGACTGAAGGCTTCCTGTTGTAGGCGGTTTAGGGGGTTTAGGGCTTAGGCTTAGAGGGTTTAGGGTTTAGAAGGTTTAG